AGGTCTCCTTGACACTTCTGAGACATTCTGTATTTATCTCTTTGCTGTAGGAACCTAGACCTGTGCTTGTCTTTTTGGGAACAAAACCTTGCTTTTATTAGTCCTCCACAGCATGGTGGCAAATGTCATTTTCTGGGCTTTTGTTGTCTTTAGATGATGGAGGTAATGTTCCCCACTGATGCATATTAAAAATACATGAAGATTCTAAAAGAAAAATTAGATTAAGAAGACAGTTCTTTGAAAGAAAATATTATTCAACGAAAAGTACCAGTCCTGCTGCAGGGCAGAAACCCTGGGTGAAAGCTACAGTCAGGATATCGGGCTCTGTGAATAAGATACAGCCCTGGGACTGTAATAGGTATTCCATGGCCCTTACACTTTCTCTGTGATAAACTGGATGTCTGGATCAGTTGTTTGAATCAGTCTTGTTGGTTATTGAAAGTTCTGAGTTACACAGGTTAGCAGATTCATCATGTGGTCCATACACATCTAGTATGTGGAGAGATCAGGCTCAGTTGTACTTATTTCCCTGACCTCAGTTGTCCATAATAATCATGTCTATCCCGTGTTTTCATTTCTTTGAGAGTCGCACTCTGTCTGAGGTGTTCTTCTACTCTCTTGACATTTTTTCTGTCTGTGATTTTTTTTAAAAAAGATTTCTTTATTTATTATGTATACAGTATTCTTAGTATTTTGCATGTATACCTACAGACCAGAAGAGGGCACCAGATCTCATTACAGATGGTTGTGAGCCACATGTGGTTGCTGGGAATTGAACTCAGGACCTCTGGAATAGTAGTCAGTGCTCTTAACCACTGAGCCATCTCTCCAGTCCTTCTATCTGTGTTTTGTGAGTTTGACAGGAATTTGGCTCATTTATTTTAGGACTTTCTCATTACCAAAGCCTCTTATCCCTGCAAGTGATGTTGTAAAGAATTATGTTTGTGATACTGCTCACTTGCCTCTATTCTGATGCCTTGTTCTGCAAACATCTTTACTTTTCCCTCAATAACCACCAGTGTTGCTGCTTCTGTTTTTCTGTCTTCTGTGCATCAGCCTATGAGTTCTTTACAGGTAAATGGTGTTTGTCAGGGTTTTTGTATACTTTGCTCTTGAAACTTGTGACTGTCTGTCCCCCATACCTTATGATTGGCTGGTTTTGTAAATGAATACACCATGGAATAAGTAATTTTCCTCTTGAAAATACAGGCCCATATCCTCTTTATTATAGTGAAAGAACTCATATGTTGATGAAAACCAGAGCTTAATGATTAGAGGGGACCATGCAAACACGGAGGATTTTGTAGAACTCTGTAAAAATGGTTAGGAACTCAGGGGAATATTAGTTCAGCTTATTGAACATTGAATGAGGAGTCCATTACTAGCTACCTGTGTGACTTGAAAACTGTGTATGTATGTATGTATGTATGTATGTATGTATGTATGTATGTATGTTTGTGTCTATGTATACATATATCACATGTATTGACTTTTCAGTGCTTGAGAAATAGCCAAAACTTTTCTCCTTGTAATCTTAGCCTATATTCCTTTGCCCCTTGAGCTTCAGGATTTTAGGCCCAATGTATCTTTACGAATATTTCTATTGTATGTGTCTCTTTTATCATTCTTCTGACCATATTTATTCACTTGACTTGTGTATGACTTTCTCTGAGACACAGATGTACAGAGATGGAACTTAATTTCTGGTCTAAAAGCAGACATACTCTAGACAAGGGCAGAAGTGATCTGGAGTTAGGCACTGTTGGGGGGGTGTCTTTGTGTCCTGAGAATCCAGGTCTTCTTATTGTGAGAGGCTGTGCTAATCAATTCTATGGCCTCTGTGCACTCAGCTTGGGTCTCACTTGCAATACTCTGTTACCTTTGTTCATCATTACTTGATCAACTTTCTGCTGAGTTTGTCCCCTTGTATGAGAATTTTTGCTGACAGTATCTCATTTTTCATTTCAGAAAAACTGTATATAGGATGTAGAATTTCCTAATAAACCTGCTTGTACCAGCAGATAGCTTGTGTAAGCATGCCTGATCCCAAACTTTACTATCTTCTCTAACTTCTCATCCCCTGGTCATCTCTCTCTCTCAGGAACCTGTCAGTAGACAACAACCTGCCAGTGTAGGACAACTGATTCCTCAGTATGGGCCCCAGACTACAGGAGGAGGAGGATTTGCAGGAACAGGAGAAGTAAGTATGGCTATAGCATAGAGAAAAGTAAGAGAAGCCAGGCTGAGGGACTGCCTGAAGGAAGAGGCAGAAGGGTTGGGAGTACAATAACACAGGACAGTGGAATTCTAAAGAGCTCTTTCTCGTCCCTCAGGTGCTTCTGTTTTTTTTATTCTAGTTCTTGGTGTGTATTGCTAAAGTCCTTAGAAAGAGTCTCATTTTCAATCAAGAATCTGCCTTTGGTTACCTGAAAGTATTTCTATAAATTTACAGAGATGAGACCATATAGTTGAGGGTTTCAAGACAAAATATTACCAAACAAGATCAAATATGTTTCATGTTGAAGGGTTTTAGATATCTTTGTAGACACAAGATTGCTTAGACCAATAGTATGTATATAATTTGACTGTAGTCTGATACCCTCATAAATGTGGTTAGTGTAATCTAATACAAATAGGCCTACAATGTTGAAAAATAAAAATCATAAACAACAGGGAGAAAAGGGACTGAAGAAAAGGAAGCAGATTACAATCTTGGATTAGAGTTTTTTCATGATGTCTCAGACGCCAAGGAAATTAAATCATTAAAATTAAAAAACATAAATATGTATATATACTTATAAACATATATATTTATAATATTATTGTTATGAAATCACCTAAAATGACTCCTACCTGTATATTATGTACCTGGATTTGGACTAGAAACTTAGTTATTTCTCCATACATCGGAGCCTCAGGGAAAGAGTTAATCTTAACAACCTCTAACCTAGTCCAGGGTATTCAAGAAAGTTTCCATGAGGAAAATCCCAATTCTTATCCATCTTTTGGGTTTTAAGTATGAAATATATTATCAGTGGCCTATATCAGCTCTGTGACTGTTCCGTCACTGGGTGGGTTTGGAAGTAGTCAGTTGTCATGTGCTCTCCTCAGACTCTCAGACAGCTGGCTGGAGCACAGGCCTGAGTCTCCTGCATCAGGTCATAGCCATTCCTCCTTTCAGTAGTGGCGTCTTTGAAGAAATGAAAGAATACTGTTTTAAATGTTAGCATTCAAACACACCTTGATAATGTTAAACTGTCTGTACAGAATGGTCCTTATTTGGTCTCCTGTCTGTAATTTATTGCCATTGAAAAGCAGGCATACAAAGATACCATTCCGAGAATGCATGTCTACCGAGACTTTGAAAACCCTTTTGTGAATATTTGTGATCACTCAGAGTTTTGTTATTTTCTCTGCTGCTGCTCTGGGAATAGACATCTGACTATAGAAATCATATGTGACTGTTTCTGAGTGACTGTATCTTGTATAGCATAGGGTTAAAACTTAATCTAAAGTGAGGTTCAGTTTCTTCCAGGATAGAACATGTAAAAGATTCTGTTGGTCTGTATTCTCATCAACTCTCAATACTGTCAGGATATTAAGGTTTGCCTTTAGGACAATTCAGACTTTGGTAGCCTGGTGTATCAGGAAAAGGGGGCACTGTATAATGTGCTTCTGAAAGCAGGCAGGTAGCTTAATTGAACATGGGGCCCTTCGGTGATGGTGGGAAAGAAAGATTCTTTTATTTCTTGCACTTCTGTCAGAACTTCTCTACCCCGGAGAGAAATATTGTGGTGGGCAGACGGTGGGCCTCAGCACTTGAGTTGGTTTTCCAAGGTTCCATCGTTAGCACCATGAACAAAATTATAATAAAGAGTAATTTTGAATAAGTTACAGGATAGACTTCAGAAGTACTGATGACTGTTTATTCTGGGATGTGACTTTCTGGTATCTTTCTCCCTCCAATGCTTTCACCCTCACTGCAGTACCAGTGCAGTGAGTCAGAGCAAATCATGAGTGCACACTCACAAGCATCATACCATGCTCTATGGACAGAGGACGTTCTGATGCTATGGACAGGATTAAATATTTCTGTTTTCTGAGAAGACTTATGTTGTATTTTGTTTTCTATTAAAATGTATTTAGTTTAAAAAAAAGAGCTGCCATTTTATTTCAAAGTCTCAGGTTGTGTGTTCAGCGCCATTTTATTTCAGATCTGTGTCAAATTCTCCTCAAAAGAAGCTGTTTTTTGAGTGTGGTCATTTATAGCTGCCATTTTATGCCTTTTCTTGGCACTGAAAACCTACATATTTAGGTATTTATGTATATGTTGTGTTTTTAGATGTATGCATGTATATATATACCACATGCATCGATTTTTTCAGTGCTTGAGAGATAGCCAACACTCTTCTCCTTCTGACGCTGGCCTCTTCTTCCTATGCTTCCTGAGGTCCAGGTTTTCAGGCCAATGTACCTTTATAAATATTTCTTTTTTCTTTCTTTCTTTTTTAATTCTTCTGACCCTGTTCTTCCACTTGACTTGTCAGCGGCTTTCTCTGAGACACAGATGTGCAGAGAAGGAACCTAATTCCTGGTCTAAAACTAGGCACACTCAAGGGAAGGTCAGGAGTGGCGTCGAGTCAGGCCCTAACAGGGGCGTTATCACTTGGTCCTGAGAACCCAGGTCTTCCTATTGTGAGAGGCTGTGCTCATCATTCCTATGGCCTCTGTGCACTCAGCTTGGGTCTCACTTGCAATGCTCTGTGTTACCTTTGTGCATTTTTACTTTATCAACTTAATACTAACTTCATCCCGTTGTAATAGAATTTTTGCTGGCCCTGTCCCATTTTTCCTTTCATGAAAACTGTATATAAGATGCAGAATTTCCTAATAAACCTGCTTGTACCAGCAGTCAACTAGTATAAGCATGCCCGATCCCAAACTTTACTATCTTCTCTAACTTCTCATCCTCTGGTCATCTCTCTCTCTCTCAGGAACCTGTCAGTAGACAACAACCTGCCAGTGTAGGACAACTGATTCCTCAGTATGGACTCCAGACTACAGGAGGAGGAGGATTTGCAGGAACAGGAGGAGTAAGTATGGCCATAGCATAGAGAAAAGTAAGAGAAGCCAGGCTGAGGGACTGCCTGAAGGAAGAGGCAGAAGGGTTGGGAGTACAATAACATAGGACAGTGGAATTCTAAAGAGCTCTTTCTCTTCCCTCAGGTGCTTTTGTTGCTTTTGTATTCTAGTTTTGGCCCTCATGTGATTCAGTTGGTTTTGTATTCTAGTTCCTGGAGTGCATTGCTAAAGCACTTAGAAAGATCCCTAGTTTCAATCAACAAGTCTGCCTTTACTTACCTGAAAATATTTACATAAATTTAAAGACATGAAAACATATACTTGAGAGTTTAAAGTCAAAATATATCCTAACAAGGTCAAATATGTTTTATATTGATGGGTTTGAGCTATCTATGTAGACACAAGATTACTTAGACCCATAGTATGTACATGATTTGACTGCAATCTGATAACCTCATAAATGTGTTCAGTCTAATGCAAAAGAAACAGGGCTACAATGATAAAATATAAAAATTCTAAGCCAATGGAAAAGAAGAAACTGAATAAAAGGAAGCAGCTTAAGATCTCAAATTATTTTTTCTTTGGGATGCCTCAGAAGACAAGAACTCTGAATCATTAAAATTAAAAAATATATGTGTGTATATATACTTACAAACTTATATATATATATATATATATATATATATATATATATATATATATATATATAAATCAGCTAAAATTGCTCTTACCTGTATAGTATGTACCTGAATTTGGACATAAATGAAGTTATTTCTCCATTCATTAGGGTTCATTGAAAGCCCCAAATAGGCCTAGCTCTTAACAATCTCTGTCCTAGTCCAGGTATTCAGGATGTTTTCATGAGCAAAATCCCAATTCTAACCTATCTTTTGGGTTTTAAGTTGAAATATGTTCTCGGCAGTGGCCTCAGTCAGCTCTGTGACTGTTCTGTCACTGGGTGGGTTTGGAAGTAGTCAGTTGTCATGTGCTCTCCTCAGACTCTCAGACAGCTGGCTGGAGCACAGGCCTGAGTCTCCTGCCACAGGTCATAGCCATTCCTCCTTTCAGTAGTGGCGTCTTTGAAGAAATGAAGGAATGCTGTTTCAGATATTAGCATTCTTACATGTTTAGATGATGTTAGCCTGTCTGTACAGAATGGTCCTTATTTGGTCTCCTGTCTGTAATTTATTGATGTTGAAAAGCAGACTTACAAAGATACCATTGTGAAAAGACATGTCTATTTGATGAAATCAGGAGTTTCCCTTTTGAAAACACAGGCCCATATCCTCGTTATTATAGTGAAAGAACTCATATTTCCAAGAAAGCCAGAGCTAAGGGTTAGAGGGGACCATGCAAATCCCCCAGGATTTTGCTGGCTCTGTGCAAATGTTTAGGAGATCGGGGGAATAAATGGTTCTGCTGATTGAGCGTCCAGAGTGTGGGTCCCTTCCTTGCTACCTGTGTGACTTGAAAACTACTTCTCTTCATTTGTCCTTGAGAGCAAGTCTCTTTAGTTTTCCCAGGTTAGGCCTCACATTTCTGCACTAAAGCTGTCTTCTGCGTCCAGTTCCATATTTCTTAGATACAGAGTCTTTTGACATTCCCACATTTAAGATTCCTTTCAATTTATATGGAATGGAGTAAAGAGAGCTGCAGTTGTGTTTCAAAGTCTCAGGTCGTGTGTTCAGCGCCATTTTTTTCAGACCCATGTCAAATTCAACTCGATAGAAGCTGTTTTTTGAGTGTGGTTACTTATAGCTGCCATTTTATGCCTTTTCTTGTCACTTCAAACCTATTTGTGTGTATTTATCTCTCTTCTGAATTTGTCCCTTATATAAGAATTTTTGCTGACACTGTCTCATTTTTCCTTACAGACAAACTGTATATATGATGTAAAATTTTCTAATAAACCTATTTGTACCTGCATTCTGCTTGTGTATGTATGTATGTATGTGTGTATGTATGTAAGTATGTATGTAGGTGTCTATGTATACATATATCACGTGTGATGATTTTTCAGTGCTTGAGAAATAGCCAAAACTCTTCTCCTTTTGTCCATGGCCTTTCTTACTTTGACCCTTGAGCTCCAGGATTTCAGGCCCAATGTATTTTTATGAATCTTTCTATTGTATTTCTTTCTTTTATCATTCTTCAGACCCTGTTGTTGCACATGGCTTGTCTGCGGCTTTCTCTAAGACAAATGTGTGTGGGGAATATACTTATTTCCTGGTCTAAAATTAGGCACACTCTTGACAAGGCCAGCAGAGGCCTAGAGTTAGGTCCTAACAGGGGCAAAGTCTTTGGATCAAGAGAACCCAGGTCTTCTCATCCTGAGAGACCATGCTCATCTTTCCTATGGCCTCTGTGCACTCAGCTTGGGTCTCACTTGCAATGCTCTGTGTTACCTTTGTGTATCATTACTTAATCATCTTTCTTCTGAGTTTGTTACTTATATGAGAATTTTTGCTGACATTATCCCATTTTTTCTTTCAGGAAAACTGTATATAGGATGTAGAATTTCCTAATAAACCTGCTTGTACCAGCAGTCAGCTTGTGTAAGCATGCCTGATGCCAAACTTTACTATCTTTTCTAACTTCTCATCCTGTGGTCATCTCTCTCTCTCTCTCAGGAACCTGTCAGCAGGAAACATTCTGCCAGTGTAGGACAACTGATTCCTCAGTATGGACCCCAGACTACAGGAGGAGGAGGAGGATTTGCAGAAACAGGAGGAGTAAGTATGGCCATAGCATAGAGAAAAGTTAGAGAAGCCAGGCTGAGGACTGCCTGAAGGAGGAGGCAGAAGGGTTGGGAGTACAATAACATAGGACAGCGGGAGTCTAAAGAGCTCTTTCTCTTCCCTCAGGTGCTTCTGATGCTTTTGTATTCTAGTTCTTGGCGTGTATTGCTAAAACACTTAAGAGTATTTACTTTCAATCAAGAAGTCTGCCTTTGGCTATCTGAAAATAAATATTTAAATTTAAAGACATAAGAACATATGGTTGAGGATTTCAAGACAAATTATTTCCTAACAGTGTCAAATGTGTTTCATATTGATGGGTTTGAGTTGTCTATATAGACACAGGATTGCTTAGACCCATAGTATGCATATGAATTGACTGTAATGTGATCCCCTCATAAGTGTGGTCAATCTAATCCAAACAAACAGGGGTGCACAGGAGAAACATGAATTGTAAACAACAGGGAGTTAAGTGACTGAAGCAAAGGTCGCAGCTTAATGTCTTGAATTAGTTTTTCTTTGTGAAGCCTCAGAGTAGAAGAACACCGAATCATTAAAATTATATATATATATATATATATATATATATATGTTTGTTTTGAAATATCTCTTATCTGTATAGTATGTTTCTGGTTTTGAGCCAGAAACTAAGATAATTCTCCATATGTTGGGGTCTCAGGAATAGTCCCAAGCAGGCCTAGCTCTTAACAACCTCCAACCTAGTTTAGGCTTTTCAGGATGATTCCATGAGCAAAATCCCAGTTCTTACTTATCTTTGGGTTTTAACCATACAGAGTAGATTTGATGGGATGGTTGCATTAGAGCAGCCTACCTGTAGAAAGATTCCCTGCTGGCTTGCTAGAGGATCTGAGGCAGGTGGGAAAAGTGGCCCAGTGTTTTGCCCTGGCATGGAGTGCCTAAAGAGTGAGTTACCTCTGTTGATCAGTGGTAACTGGCCTCATGGTCTTCTCTTTCTATTTGCAACCTGTGTTTCAAAGTTCTGAGTTCGTGTGGGTTAGGAGGGTTTGGGGGCAGAGTGGGACTTGTAGCTTTCATGATCCAATTGATGGGATGGGGAAGTTGGAGCAGCCTATCTGTAGGAAGCTTTCCCGCTGATTGCCCAGAGAAGCTGAGGCAGGTGATTTTAGGTGCCCAGGGTTTTTTCCCTGGTATGGAGGGCCTAGAGAGTGTGGTACTCTGTCAGGTGGGTTGGCATTTACCTCTTGGTCATCTCTGTGTTTTTGCAGTCTGTGTTTCAGAGATTTTCTGAGGTTGCGGGGAGAGGGTTTGTGGGCGAAGTGGAACTTGTAGCTTACAAGGTCCCATTGATAGAATCTAGATATCTTCATTTCTAAGGGTATACTTTTGGAGTAGAAGTAGTGTAGCAGAGCGTATACACCTGTGGCAGTTGATGACCCTGGCAGGGTCAGTTGTTAATCGTGTATGTGTTTCCACTTTTAATAATATATAAAGGTTATTTTCATTTCTGTTCTTATGTCCAGCACTGGATTGTGCTACTACTTATGTATTTCAGTGTATAGACGCCACATATCCTTTGACTGTGGTATTATCTTGAGAGACTGTGCTCATTAACGTTGAAATTCTTGTTTCAGCTTTGGGTTGAATCTGTCTGTCCCCTCCATCCCTTACTTCTTCCAACCCTTCCTTCCCCCCTCCTCCCTCCTCCCTTTCTCTGTCTCTGTCTGTCTGTCTGTCTGTCTGTCTGTCTGTCTGTCTCTCTCTGTGAGTGTGTGGTTTTTTTGTGTGCATGTGTGAGAGAATTTATATGTCTTTATATGTCTGCAGGTCTTGAAATGCAAGCCTTTCTACTTACTGGAGGCAAATAGATTCCCGTAGACATCATCCTGGAGCTGATTTTTTGAATCCAAAATATAAATTTCTGATTGAACGTATTAGTTTTTGTACCATCATTTTGCAGATGTCCCCTTGAGGTTTTTTTTTTTGAATAGCTTGATAATTTTTCTATCATTGAGGATTTTTTCCTTGTATACATTTATGATTTCTTGCATGCTTCTATTAGTTAACAGCCTATTTTTTTTACATTTTAATTTTGAATCCGTGTCTTTTAAAAATTGCCTAAGTAAGACTTCAAAATCTCTGTGGCTATATCATGTGACAGTCTCTTATTGTGTCCCTGACAGGACTGAGAGCCTTTATACTCTGACTGGTGCCTCTATGGTGCTGTGATGTGAGGAGCCTACCACTCTGTACACTGTGGAACTTTTTTTCTATATTTAATTTTTATTTATGTATTTTGGAACAGGGGTTCTCTTTGTAATAACCATGTCTGATTGGAAGTTGCTTTGTAGTCCAGGCTGGACTCAAACCCTTAGATATTTCCAACCTCTGCCTCCCTAGTGCTGAATTAAAAGGCCATTTTTAATTAATCCTAAGAGAATGTAACTTAGAAACAGGCACCTGTGCTGGACTTTCCTGACCTCATGGTCCACCTGCTCCTCCTCCATAGTAGTTCCATTGTAGGTGTGGGCTGCATGGCCCAGAAATACTTTTTCATTCTATTTTTCACCTTCATCTCTGGTACTCATGCAGGCCTTGTTACTGTCATTTTTTGAAAAGGTGTTTGTGCTGTTCTTAGCCATGCTTGGAACTCACTATGTATTATATATTGCTGTTTAGTATATATCATTACAAATAGATGTTTACTGTGTGTCTGTGAGTAGTTCTGGGCTATGAGATGAGGTCTCCTTGACACTTCTGAGGTGTTCTGTTTTTGTCTCTCTGCTGTAGGCCTCTTAATTTTGCTATGTTAGGCCTTCCATTGCTGGATTAAAGTCATCTTCCTTCTCCAGCATTCCATATTTCTGGGATGAAGTGCACTTTGACATTCCCACATGTAAGGTTTCCTTTTAATTTATATGGAATGTAGTAAAGAGAGCTGCAGTTGTGTTTCAAAGTCTCAGGTCGGATGTTCAGCGCCATTTTGTTTCAGACTTGTGTCAAATTCTACACCAAAGAAGATGTTTTGCGAGAGTGGTCATTTATAGCTGCCATTTTATACATTTTCTTGTCACTTCAAACCTATATATGTATGTAAATATAACTGTGTGCATATATAGATGTGTATATATACATACAAACCATACACTATTTTTTCAGTGCTTGAGATAGCCAACCCTCATTTCCTTCTGACCCGAGCTTCTTCCTTTGCCTCTTGAGTTCCAGGCTTTCAAACATATTGTACCTTTATAATGTTTTTCTTTTGTATTTCTTTCTTCTTTCCTTCTTCAGACCCTGTTGTTGCACTTGACTTGTCTGCGGCTTTCTCTGAGACACAGATGTGCAGAGAAGGAACTTAATTCCTGGGCTAAAAACAGGCACAGGCTTGACAAGGCCGGATGTATCCTGGAGGCAGGCCCTAATGGGGGCACTGTCTTTGGTCCTGATATCCCAGGTGTTCCATATTGAAAGGCCGTGCTATGGCCTCTGTGCACTCAGTCTGAGTCTCACTTGCAATGCTCTTTCTTATGTTTGAGCATCATAATGTGATCGATTTCCTGCTGACTTTGTGCCCTTGTATGAGAATTTTGGCTGACACTGTCCCATTTTTCCTTTCAGAAAAACTGTATATAGGATGTAGAATTTCCTAATAAACTTGCTTGTACCAGCAGTCAACTTGTGTATGCATGCCTAATCCCAAACTTTACTATCTTCTCTAACTTCTCATCCCCTGGTCATCTCTCTCTCAGGAACCTACCAGTAGGAAACACCCTTCCGGTGAAGGACAACTGATTCCTCAATATGGACCCCAGACTACAGGAGGAGGAGGAGGATTTGCAGGAACAGGAGGAGTAAGTACGGCCATAGCATAGAGAAAAGTAAGAGAAGCCAGGCTGAGGACTGCCTGAAGGAAGAGGCAGAAGGGTTGGGTGTACAATAACATAGGACAGCGGGAGTCTAAAGAGCTCTTTCTCTTCCCTCAGGTGCTTCTGATGCTTTTGTAGTCTAGTTCTTGGGGTATATTGCTAAAGCACTTAGAGTCTTTACTTTTAATCAACAAGTCTGCCTTTACTTACATGAAAATATTTCCATAAATTTAAAGACATGAAAACATATACTTGAGAGTTTAAAGACAAAATATATTCCTAACAGTGTCAATTGTGTTTCATATTGTTTGGTTTGAGCTGTCCATGTAGACACAAGATGGTTAGACCTATGGTATGTGTATGACTTGACTGCAATCTGATACCCTCATATATGTGTTTAGTCTAATTCAAAACAAACAGGGCTACAATGATGAAAAATAAAAATCTGAACAAGAGGGAGAGAAGGAACTGAAGAAAAGGAATCAGTTTAATAGCTCAAATTGTTTTTTCTTTGTGATGCATCAGAGAATAAGAACATTGTATCATTAAAATTAAAAATACATATGTGTATATATACTTAGAAACATATATACCTGAATATATATAACCATTATGAAATCACCTAAAAGGACTCTTACCTGTATTGTATGTACCTGAATTTGGACAAGAAACTAAGTTATTTCTCCATACATCAGGACCTCAGGGAAAGCCCCAGAGAGGCCTAGCTCTTAACAACCTCCAGCCTAGTCCAGGGTATTCAAGAAAGTTTCCATGAGCAAAATCCCAATTCTTACCCTTCTTTTGGGTTTTAAGTATGAAATATGTTCTCAGTAGTGGCCTAGGTCAGCTGTATGGCTGTTCTGTCACTGCGTGGGTTTGGAAGTAGTCAGTTGTCATGTGCTCTCCTCAGACTCTCAGACAGCTGGCTGGAGCACAGACCTGCGTCTCCTGTACCAGGTCATAGCCATTCCTCCTTTCAGTAGTGGCGTCTTTGATGAAATGAAAGAATACTGTTTCAGATATTAACATTCTTACATGTTTAGATGATGTTAATCTGTCTGTACTAAATTATCTTCATTAGATCTCCTGTTTGTAATTTATTCACATTGTAAAACAGGCTGAAAAAGATCCATCCAGAGAATGCATGCCTACTGAGATTATGAAAACCCTTTTGTGAATATTTGTGATAACTCGTAGCATTTTATAATTTACCTACTCCTGCTTTGGGAATAGGTATCCGTTCTTCCCCAGCCATACAACTGCCTTCCATCTTCAGAGTATCTTGTTTGGTCCAATACTGGTTCCTTCCCAGTCTGACTGGAATTGGTGAGCTCCCATTAGCTCAGCTAAACTGTTACAGTAGGTGTCCCCATCATGGTCTTAACCTCATTGCTCATATTCTCACTCCTCCCACTCTTCCACTTTTGGCATTTTGGGAGCTCAGGCCATTGCTCTGATGCAAGTCTCAGCCTCTGCCTCCATCAGTTGCTGGATGAAGGTTCTATGGTGATATTTAAGATATTCATCAGTCTGACTACATGTGAAGGTTAATTCAGGCACCTACTCTACTATTGCTTAGGGTCTTAGCTGGGATAATACTTGTGGATTTCTTCAGAAATTCTCCATTATCAGATTTCTTGCTAGGCCCATAATGGCTCCCCCCAATCAAAATATCTTTGTCCTTCCTCCATCTCGCCTTTCTCATCTCGCCCTCAAGTTCTCCTCCCCCTTCCCTTCTCCCCTCCTCTTCTGACTTTTGTTCTCCACCCCCCCCCCAATGCTCCAATTTTGTCAGGAGATCTTGTCTATTTCCCATTTCCTGGGATATCTATATATGTTTCTCTTAGTGTTCACCTTGTTACTTAGCGTCTCTAGGGTGATGGACTATGGACTTGTTACATTTTGCTTTATGTTGCTATGAACATAGTTGAGCAAATTTCATTATAGTATGATTGAGCATTATTTGGGTAGATGCCCAAGAGTGGTATTGTTGAATCCTGAGGTAGGTTGATTCCCAATTTTCTCAAAACAAAACAAAACAAAACAAAAATGCCAAACTGATTTCCTGAGTAGTTGTACAAGTTCCCATTCCCATGAATAGTGGAGGAGTGTTCCTCTTACTCCACATCCTGTCCAGCATAAGCTATCATTAGTGTTTTTTATTTTATCCATTCTGATTGGTATACAATGGTATCTTAGAATCATTTTGATTTGAATTTCCCTAATGGTTAAGAATGTTGAACATTTCCTTAAGTGTCTTTTGAAAATTTGAGATTCTTCTGTTGTGAGTTCTCTGTTTAGATCTGTACTCCAGTTTTCAATTGAATCATTTGGAATTTTGATGTGTAAATTATGTTGGCCTTCATATATTTTGTATATAAATTCTCTGTCTGATGTGGGACTGGTGAAGATCTTTTCCCCATTCATTCAACTGTGTTTTTGTCTTATTGACTGTATCCTTTGCTTTACAGAAGTTTCTCAGTTTCAGGAGGTTCTATTTATTTATTGTTGCTCTCAGTGTCTGTGCTACTGGTGTTATAGTTAGGAAGGGGCCTCTTATGCCCATGTTTGAAGGCTACTTCCCACTTTCTCTTCTATCAGGTTCAATGCGGTCAGAAATACATTGAGTTCTTTTATCCATTTGAACTTGAGATTTGTGCAGGGGTAGATATGGGTCAATTTGCTTTGTTCTACATGTTGAAAAGCAGTTATTCCAGCAGCATTTGTTGAAAATGTTTTCTTTTTTCCATCGTGTAATTTTAGCTTCATTGTCAAAGATTAAGTGTTCATAGGTATGTAGATTAATATCCATGTCTTCAATTTGATTCCATTGGTCAACCTTTATGTTTTTATGTCAATATCAAGCTGTTTTCAATATTATAACTCTATAAGAGAGATTGATGTCAGGTATGGTGATGCCTCCAGAAGTTCCTTTATTCTACTAGGTTGTTTTTGCTATCCTGAGATTTTTGTTTTTCCACATGAAGTTGAGTATTGTTCTTTCGAGGTTTCTGAATAATTATGTTGGGATTTTGATTATTACATTGGGATTGTAGATTGCTTTTGGTATGATTGCCATTTTTATTATTTTGATCCTCCCTATTCAAGAGCATGGGAGATCGTTCTATCTTCTGGTATCTTTTTAAAATTCTCTCTCCTGAGGCTTAAATTCGTATCAAACAGGTTTTCCTCTTCTTTGGTTAGTTAGTATTACCCAAAGATATTTAATGTTATTTCTGACCATTGTGAAAGATGATGTTTCTCTGATCTCTTTCTCAAGTTCTTTTTCATTTGTATATAGGAGGACTACTGATTTTTTTTAGTTGATCATATCCTGCTACATTAGTGAAGGTATTTATCAGCAGTAGGAGTTCCCTGGTAGATCTTTGGGGTCACTTATTATACTATCATATCATCTGAAAATGTCAGAAGTTTGACTTCTTCCTTTCCAATTTGAGTCCCATTGATCTCCTTTTATTTTATTATTGCTCTAGGCAGAACTTCAAGATCTATGTTGAATAGATATGTAGATAGCAGACTACCTCGTCTTGTTCCTGATTTTAGTAGAATCACTTTGGGTTTCTATCTATTTAATTTGATGTTGGCTGTCGGCTTGCTGCATATTGTTTCTATTATGTTTAGATATGGTTTTTGTATCCATGATCTCTTTAAGACCTTTATCATCAAGGGGTGTTAGATTTTGTCGAATGCTTTTTTAGCATCTAATGAGATGATCATATGTTTTGTCTTCCCATTTATATGCTGGATTACATTGATAGATTTTTGTATGTTGAGCGCCCCCCCTGCATCTATGGGATGAAGATGACTTGATTATGGTGGATGAGTTTTCTGATGTGTTCTTGGATTCTCTTTGCTAGCATTTTACTGAGTATTTTTGCATCTATGTTCATGAACGAGATTGGTCTGTAATTCTCTTTGTTGGTTGAGTCTTTGTGTGATTTCAGTATCAGGGTAACTGTAGCCTCATTAAAAGAGTTTGGCAATATTCTTTCTGTTTCTATTATGTGGAATGTTTTGAAAAGTATAGGTATTAGTTCTTCTTTGAAGTTCTGGTCAAATTCTTCCCTGAAACCATCCATCCCTTGGCGTCTTTTGGTTGGGAGGCTTTTAATGACTGCTTCTATTTCTTTGAAGGTTATAGGTCTATTTAAATTGTTCACCTGGTCTTGATTTAATTTTGATATGTGGTACCTATTCAGAAAATTATCTATTTCTTTTACATTTTCCAATTTTGTTGTGTACAGCTTTTTGTAGTATGATCTAATGATTTTCTAGATTTCCTTGGTGACTGTTGTTGTGTCCATGTTTTCATTTCAGATTTTGCTAATTTGGATGTTCTTTCTCTGCCTTTTAATTAGTTCAGTTAAGGGTTTTTCTATCTTGTTCATTCTTTGCAATACTAGGGGTCATTTGGGCCTGCTCCCACAGGGGTTGCTTGCTTGGTGCTCTTTCTGTTGAGTTTGCTGCCTTGGGCCTACACTGGCAGAGGTCGTTTGCTCATGCCTGCTCTGGTGTAGTTTGAAGGATAGGACCTCCTCAAGGGAATGTCTCTGGCACAGGCCTGCTATCTCAGAGATTGCTAATTCATGCCAAGTCCAGCAGAGGTTCAGGCCTGTTCCCTCAGAGATGACTCCCTTGTACCTTCTCCTAGTCCTGCAGAGGTCTCTGACTTGGATCTGCTCCCTGGGAGGTAATTACCTTGTACCTGCTCATGTAGAGTTCACTCCTTCAGTCCTGCTCTGGCAGAGCTCACTTACTCAGGCCTGTTTTCATAGATGTTTGTTGACTTGGGTCTGGTCCTGCAACGTTCTCTGGCTCAGGTCTATTCCTTTGGAGGTCACAGACCTCTGAGGTCCTGGCTCAGGTCTATTCCCTTGGAGTTTACAGGTTTGTTCCCAGACCTGCAGAGTTCTCTGGTTCCAGCCTATTCTATCGGAAGTCCCAGACTTGCTCCTGAACCAGCA